TATGTGGTTGTGGAGTAAAATAACTAGATAAGCTTGGAACATAATACTCACTTTAATATTATGAAACTTGGACCCACAGATAAAAAGGCTGACTTAGTTCCAGTGCCACCCTTAGTGTTTGATATTTAGAAGAGCATTCACCAACAACTGAATATGCCATCTGTTTGAGGCATTAATATTGGGTGTATGAAAGTGGTATTAAAAAGACGGTTTAAAAATTTCCCAGTTTAAAGGTTTGTATGCCAGATAACAGCTGAACCATGACTGGGTGGCAATTAAGAGCTGCATCTTCCCATACAAATCCTACTAATCTTCAGCTGCCATAACAACCTTCATCCTTTGATATCTAATGTTTTTTGTGCTCTTCCTATTCCTGCTAAAATTATTTGCCTCTATTAAACCAGACAAAAGAGGATTTTAGACTGTAGATAGCAAAACATGCAGTCACATGACTATTAATTTCGTGAATGGTGCATGGCAAATTGTTGGTGATGCTCCTCTAAAAGACAAACATAGCTTTTTTTATAGGGTGGGTACTGTAGATATGCCCAGGTCTGCACACAAAAAGTTAGAGATTTGTTGAGTTATTGAAAACCAGTAGGAGGTTGAGAGGGAACTGTCAAAAAGTTGGATTTTGTGAAAACTGCAAAAAATGTAAAATCTGTGAATAATTGAAAAACTCACAACAATTAAAAAATATATTGGTGATTAATCAGTGATTGATGCAATAATTTGTTTGAGCAAAGAACTGTCAGCTTGAAAGACGCTTGCAATTGCCAGCAAGCTATGATCTGCTTGGGGTTAGTGCAAGAGATAGAAGATAGAGTTTAGCATAGATTGCTTTGCTCACTGTTTCAATTTTAAATGTAATGAAGAATTTACATGCAGGAGCTAGCTAGAGTAGAAAAGAGACTTACACTGCCCTACTTTTCCTTAAATTTATTACAGCCTGAGGCTCCAGGCAGATCATGTCAGAGAGGCAGGGAGGAAAATCATCTCTTTGGAAGCAGGTTAAAAGGGCTGCGCTGCGTCCATTTCTGCGACGTGGAAATAGGAGGTCCGGTAAGAAAGAATGCTATAAAAAAAATTCCTCTTTTTTATATGTATTGAATTGCCAAGGGTGATGATAGAGATCAAATTTATAATGAGTGTTGTTCCCAGTCATTCAGTGTTTTAGATTCTTATGTATTACATGACTATAAATCCAGGGCTTCTGATATTTCGGGCGGTCGCGGAGCCGCGAAATTCGGTAGAAATCTTATGAAATACATGTCTGTACAACATATTTGAAACTTATTTCAGCTATAGGCCAGGGGCTATTTACTTGCCGTAAACTTGCAAATTTATCTTGGAACTTCGTCCCAGAAACGTGCAAACAACGTCCCGAAACTACCAGGC